AAAAAAAGGCCTGACCATCTCAGCCTTTTGGTTTGGCTCCCTGACCACCACAATGTGGAAACACAAAGAGGGCCAAGTACACACACACAGCCTTCCCATCATAGCTGCAGGGCACATTGCTCTCCTCACTCACCTGTCCAGGTCCTCATCTAGCGACTCATATGAGTTCTCATAGCATTCAATGCGCCTCATGAAATCCTCAGTGGCCTCATCACTGTCACGGTTCACGTAGTCAGGACTGCCCAGTTTCACTTGCTGCCAGAAGCAGGAACAGAGCAAGGACACATCAGAGATAGAAGACAGGCAGAGCCAGAGATCAAAGACACTCCTGGGCAGGAGGTTGGGGAGGTGGTCTGGAGGCCAGTCTGAGTTCTCACCAGTGCCTACAGGGTATTACTGAGCACCCTATGATCAAGAGTCCTCATCTCTGTGGTACAAGAGAGGCCTAAAAGCCTTTTCCCATGCTAAACTATCTCCTTTACAAACACTGTGGTGGAGGGAAGGAGTAGTCTCTCTTTCTCTCCAATGTAAACATCCCCACCCCCTGGCTGAAGTTGCTCTGCCACTAAGAGGGATTAGGCAGGGAAAGGAGAGGGAGGGCAAACGCAATCAGTGTAACTTAATTCTTTGTACCCTCAATGAATCCCAAACAATAAAAGAAAAAAGAAGAGACAGGGAAGGTAAAAAAAGGAAGCAAGGAAGAATGCCCACCAGCCACACACTGGGCCTCAGGGACTGAGGCTCATCTGCCCCAGTGTTTGAGGTTACACTGTCTTCCCCCACAAGGTTCAAGAAAATCAAATTAAGGTGAGCCAAATCCTGGAAAGGGACTCACTATCACATACAACCCTCTGTTTTATCATTATTATTATTATTTTTTTTTTTGGTAGAGACAGAGTCTCACTTTATCACCCTCAGTAGAGTGCCATGGCATCATAGCTCACAGCAACTTCCAACTCCTGGGCTTAGGCGATTCTCTTGCTTCAGCCTCCTGAGTAGCTGGGACTACAGGTGCCCACCACAATGCCTGGCTATTTTTTTTGTTACAGTTTGGCCAGGGCCGGACTCAAACACGCCACCCTCGGTATATGGGACCAGCACCCTACCCACTGAGCCACAGGCACCGCCCCTCTGTTTTATTATTACCCAACAAGGTAAGATACGCCACTCACCACAATGTTGGCAGCTATGACCTCAGGATCTACACAGATGGACTCAACAAAAAAGGTCTGCAGCAGGGCCAGAAGCACCAGCGTAGACAGGAGGGAAGGAACCACAACATATTTAGTCCTTGGGCCTTACTCCATAGAACTCTCTCCACCTTTCTGAAGGCCATGCTGACCAGTAGCTGGGCCCCCCAAGGCCTTTCTTCTGGGGGGTGGGGAGTAGGGGTAAGGTCAAAAAACACAGAGCTAAATCAAGTGCTGCCCTGCCTTAGACCCTCTCACCAAGACCTCTTTCCCCTGGAAAGAAAATCCCAGTTGGAGAGAAGAGCACAGCCCCTCTCATCCCAAATTACACTAGAGATCATATCAGCCTGATGGCCTGCATGCAACAGGAGACTGTGAAGGGAGCTCAAGAGTTCAGGACATGCCACAGCACCACCAAAGACAGGAGCCAAGGAGGACTCACCTTATAGCCATTCTGTTCACCAAAATTAAAGATGGTGGCTCTCCGTTCTCGGGTGGTATTCGTTGCATCAAAAACCTAGGACCAAACTGGGATTAACTCAGCCTCTGGCCCTGGAGAAGGTAGGAAGCAACCCCAGAACTGCAGCACAGGCATCTCTCAGGACTGAATCTCTTGCCAGAGAGATCAGGACCAGTTGCTGCCAGGCTACCTGCCTGACCAGACTTCTTCAGATTTGCGCAAAGGCTGGGATGGTCCTCCCCTTCCTTAGGAGGATGTCCTGAGGAAGCTGGAAGGAAGAGGTGCCTGTAATCCCAGCTGTGGTGCAGACCCTTGGCACAGAAGAATGAACTCAGCACTGTTCTACATATAGCAGGAGCTCAGTTTCTGCTTGACCAACAGGAATCCCAATGAAACCAGTTAAACCTGATGAACTGAACCTATTTTTATCTCTACTCCATCCTGAGATTCTAATAAAATGGAAACAGAGCATAAAAGAAGAGAGAGGAAAGGATAGGAGATGGCAATACCAACAAAATTTTGTAAGATAGACACATGGTAACTGACT